GCTTGCCCCTGCAATAAGGGAATAGATCTGCTCCTCTGAACTTAGAGATCATTGAATAGATATAATATGGAGAAATTGTGAATGAGATTTCCAACATAGAAATGTGCAAAATGCAAGAAATAGATTACCAGTTTTTCTTGGTTTTCATCTTGCCCTATAGTCCAGCAGAAGTGAGATAGACAATTTACTTCGACCTTTTCCATCTCTTTGGATTCTTTGTTTAACGGCATGTCCACTTGATATCAAATCACAAAAGATACATTATTCCTCTATAGATACACACTTTCCTTATATACAAAAACGGATAACCGTATACGGCAGATAAGAATACTACTCCCCCCTCTACCTAAGAAGATCTTCCCATTACGAGTTACGAGGCTTGACCAACTTTATTTTCAATTCAATTTATTAGATTATAGAAGTAAAATTTTAAAATAAAATTTATATAGTAATAAACTACATGAAAAGTTCTAGAAAACTAGAGGTGACAAGACTATATTATTTTACAAAATGACTAGTAAAAATGAGCAAACAAAGTGAGTAGAGTTTGACCTTGTGAATAGTGTCTAGGAAGATTTATGGTGGACACAGAGAGTACTGCATAAGCAAATAATAAATAAAATAGTAATATAAAGGTCAAACATTAAGTTATAAATGGTTAAAAATATACTCCCTCCATCCCAAAATTATCTTCTTGTTTCAGTTTACAGCGTTTGATAAAACTATATTCAATTTATGTACTCCGTAAATTTACTTTTTATCCGCATATTCTTTTCACGATGTTTAACAAAAGTGTTTAAAAGTGTAAACGAAGTGGTTAGAATTTGATGAGAATAAAGAAACTTTTTATCCACGTATTCTTTTCCTTAGCACTATGTTTGGTTGTGGAATTAGAAAGGAAAATAGAAGAAAGATATTTTCTTTCCTTTTCCTCACCAAACAACAACCCATTTAAATCCCTTAAGAGTAGGATGTGGGTACGCAGACCTTGCCCCTACTCGAAAATAGTGAGGTTGTTTCTAAGAGACCCCAGCTCAAGCCGCATGGATATCATAAGTTTATATACAAGACCACAAAACTACAAAAGACATGTAAAGCATGGAATGCATGAAAAGCATAGAGCACAAGGAGGCACAAGCCAAGCCAATGTTAATAGTGAAAAAGAAAGAAGCACAGAAGCAAAGCACCGGGCATACAAAGCACACAACAAGTGCATAAACTACCACCTAACCAAAAGCACCTATCCAAATACCTTAATCCTAGCTCTCCAAACCAAAGACTATCTAAGGCCATACAAGGGAAAACCAATTCCCCTGCTTGTGCATTTTCTTTGTGCATTTTCTTCCCCTGTTTTTTTCCTCTCTAACCAAACAAGAAAAGTGTTTACTATCATTTTTTCCTTTCAAATTCTTTGAAACAAACATGGCGTAAAAGGAAAGTGAAGATAGTTTTGGGACAAACAAAAAAAGGAAAGAAGAAGGATTATTTCGGAATGGATGGAGTATATATTTAAAAACCACATCAAAAGCTCTATAAAACACAAGAGGTGACATGATAATTTTATTTTAACAAATTATCAATGAAAATAAGTAAGGAGAAGAAGATATGATTTTACCTTGTGAATACCAAATGGGAAGATAATTTTCAGATGAAGTATAAAGTTGATGTGTCCCAACCGTACCAGTTCGTGTTTCTAGAAAGTGTTGTTTCACGCACTCACACCTGTCTGGATGCTTCATTGTATACAATGAGTTTCAACTCTCTCTCTCTCTCACTCTTTCTCTCTCTCTCTCTATCACACACACTCACACACATACATTAGGATCACCAATTCATATAGAAGCATGAACTTGAACTACGAGTATTTTTTACCATTATAGCTCACACGGGATGGTTCAAAGTTCGGAAGACTAAGTAACCAGTTTTCAATCAGTTGAGAAGGAAACTAGCTCACAACAAAGGTCTATGCTCAATTATTTATTCAAATACTATGTTTGTTGTTTTACTCTTTGCTCTCTACATTCAAATATTTTTTTCTTTCCTAGAAAGGATTAACCCATAACCAAAAGGTGGTACAATAAATAAACAAAAACAAGAAATATAGAGAAAACGTACTCCATCGCGGCCATTTCCTTTTATTTTCTAATTGAACTTTCTAAATACTCAGTATGATATACTACCTCCGTCCCACTCTTTTTGTCCAGTTTTGACTTTTGGAACTGTTCATCTAAGCACTTTGACTCATCAAATTCTCTCAATGTGTAAGTCTAAAAATAGTCATGTGTGATCTTGTTTGATTTGTCTTAACATATAGATTATTAATATATAATTTTTATAATTTTTTAATATATAAATTATAAGATAAAATAGATTAAAGAAGTGCATTGGATGGTGTGCAAAAATGAAAGTGGACAAAAAGAGTGAGACGGAGGAAGTAGTAAAAATGAAAATGAAGCCATAAATGGTGAGGAAAAACCCAAAATTAAAAAAAAAAAAACTTAAAAGCATACAATTTGTGTTCAACCAAAAGCTTTCACAATATTAAAGAAGTTCGGTAAATAAACCTTAATTCAAGAATTGATTGTACACCAAAACCCAATCTCTATGATTCCGTCATCGTTCATCAAAGGAGAGAAAACAGTTCTAGCAAAATTGTTTTTTAAAGTATAAATCAAGGAACCTTGTTCTAATATAAGTACAATTTGAAAAATTGAAGGTGTAACTGGAAATATTAACTAGGGCTAGAATGAACCAGCACTTTATTTATGCGCCCATTTGAAAATTCTTAGCAACTAAGTTGGGGCACTTAGATTTGGGATTCAATATTGGTATATTGGCCCATATTTATTTTATTCTCATTATTATTATTATTATCATTATCATTATTACTAAAACTTGGCTAAAAACTTGCAATAAATATCCAGTGGAATTTCATTATTGAAAAAAAGGAAACTTTCATTCAAATACTCCGTAAATTGGGCAAATTTGCGTGAAAGCACCAAAAAGGAAATTTACATTAGCCCACCCTGCCACCGGGGATGAGATTTCTGAACAATTGAAGTCAAAGTGGAACTGGCCGAAGATCCCAAGTGTGACAAGAGTGCTAGAGGAACATCCCACTAATTTTCAGAGTGCTCATGTGATCCTTTTGTTTTGGGAGCAATCACGTAAAATCACCCAATTATAATAGTATACATTTATTCTTCTTATTTAAAATGCCAATTTAAGAAATTGTGAAAAATGTTACAGAGCAAATGCTATAGCATATTGCCATTGAATCAGTAAAAAAATCAATAAAATCATATCTATAGATGCTTTACAAATATCTACTAATCATATTTGACAAGAGATAGTAGAATTTATAAATCTTTGAGTGCCAGTCCGAACAGATCATCAAGAAGTTTAAAATATCCATAGTGGGAATCATTTATAATAGAATAAAAAGCAAAGGGGAGTTTTTACTAAAACTCTCAACTCCCTTAGAGGACTTTATAAAGTTCCCCTCCTATGTACCTTTCTAAACGCATGGTTTTACTCTGCATTTTGAGATCAAAGAGGTTATCAGACACAAACTACGACTTTTGGGCCTTACTGAGAATATGACCTTAGATAGGAACATTAAGAGAGCTAGGAGTATGGTAGTTGGGTAGGTGTTTTGGGCTTGGTGGTAGTTTCCTACGACTTATGGGCCTTACTCAGAACATGACCTTAGATAGGAACATTAGAAAAGCTAGAAGTATGGTAGTTGGGTAGATGTTTTGGACTTGGTGGTAGTTTTTGCAGTTGTTGTATTGTACCTTTTAACTTGGTTTTTGTTGTATTTGAGATCAATATCCAAATCCCCTCATATACATGGCCTTTGAAAGACTTGCAAACTACAAATTAGGTTATTAAATAACCAGTAACTACTTTGGGTAAATTAATAGCATAGCAGGTTCAAGCTACAAACTAGGCAATAAAATTATGTCCATTGAAATTTGAGTCAATATAGTCATCTTGAATATGTTTTAGTTTTGGCTAAATAATGCACTAAATTAAAATGGCACAATAAATTTCTCTAGGTTCAGATATTACATGAAGGTTTGGACAGTAAATGGAGCAGTGCATTAAGGGTCTAATAGGTTATTAAGAAATACAATATGGAATTTTAATGCTTTTACGGTCTATTAAAAGCCAGTAAAACATCAGAATTAGTTAATAGTTACCAAGCTAGTTGCATAAGATCTACACTTCAACCCCATTAATACTAAAATCTAAAAACCAAGGCAAAGCTATGCCCTTGGACCACAAAAATATTAAACATTATGTAACAAAAAGGACAAAGATGGTGGGATGGAAAAACGTAATATGAAAACGACAGAGATAGTGGGCAGGAGGAAGTACTTTGTATGATCAAACTTAAAAACAAGAGTAAAAGCTTTATGAAATGAGCACAGGAAGTGTTTACCTATCACAATTTGAGAAGCATAGTTTTCCAATTGTTTGCATAAATTTTCTTTCCCAGAATCAGAGGCTTTCGCCTTTGGCAATCCATTTGCACCAAAAACTCTCACATCAAATTTTATGGTTTTGCCTCCATCATATCTAAATAATAGGAAGTCTCTATCACAAAGATGGTTTTCTTTGAAAAATTTGCCCCATCCCTTGCTTAGAAATAAGCCATCTGCATCTACAGATAATTTGACCGTCCAAGACTGACCAGAAGAGCACATTAGAATTGCTTCACCTCGTAAACCTCTTTTGCCCTTTTTCAAGTATTTCATGAAGCCCATTGGGATCGGCTTCAAATTCAAATTTTCATCACAAAGGGATAATTCGATCAGTTATCACTATTCAATATATTATGTAATCATACTTAGAAAGTTTGGTGTACTTCTGTACTCAAATGTGCATGTGGTTTTCATTTCACTTGAAAATTGAAATTCAATGCACCTTAAAACCAATGATAATGTTATTGGAAATATCACGTCACACAATGCAATGTAAGGTTCAACTTACAGTCAACTTCACCTGTTTTCAGTTATCACCATTCTAACCAAACATGGCGTTAAAGGAAAGTAAAGATGGTTTCGGGACAGACGAAAAAGGGAAGAAGAAAGATTATTTTGGGATGGATGGAGTATATATTTAAAAACTACATCAAAAGTTGTAAAAAACAAAAGGTGACATGACAATTTTATTTTAACAAATGATCAATGAAAATAAGTAAGGAAAATAAGATAGATTTTACCTTGTGAAGAGCATATACGAAGCTAATTTTGGGATGGATTATAAAGTTGATGTTTCCCAGTCATACCAAGTGTTCATCTTTCTAGAAAGTGGTGTTTCACACTCACACCTGTGTTGATGCTACATAGGATACAATGAATTTCAATTCTCTCTCTCCCTCTATCGCACGCACTCATATATACACACTAGGATCACCAATTTGTTAGGGGAGAAGCAACAAGTAGGATACGACACCTACAAGGATCAACTTCAAGACAACCAACCAAACACTTAACCCAATTTACCACAATTGATTAACCAAGCACACAAAATCAGCAACACATCAAATAAACCACAACCAAATATGAAGAATAAAGATGCAAACGACACACGATTTTTATACGTGGAAAACCCCTTCGATGTGAAGGATAAAAACCACGGGACTTATAGGGAGTCCGCCCTCTTCTTCTCTTATTATGCAAATTGAGGGTAAAAACACCCAAACTCAGTCTACAAGGATGTCATAGCCCACCAACAACAACATACATAAGAGGCATCAACAATAGAGAAAGAAAATCAGGATTATCACCCAAAAACGTAGCGTCGCACCAGCTGCGATTACAGAAGATCCGTAGCTCCGATTGA